TAGCTTTCAGACAAATAGAAGAATTCCAAAGAAAGAGAGACTTGAGCTTGTCCACTCTGATGTTTGGGGTCCAACGACTGTCCCATCCGTTGGTGGGAAGCAATACTTCATGACGTTTATCGATGATCACTCCAGAAAGGTATGAGTTTACTTTCTGAAACACAAGTCAGAAGTATTTGAAGCTTTCAAGATTTGGAAAGCTATGGTAGAAAATGAATCAGGATTGAAGATTAAGAAGCTCAGATCCAACAATGGTGGTGAATATGTAGACACCAGATTCAAGAAGTTTTGCTATGAGCACGGAATCAGAATGGAGAGGATCGTGCCTGGTACGCCTCAACACAATGGTGTAGCTGAGCGTATAAACCGAACGTTGACTGAAAGATCCAGAAGCTTGCGTGTACAGTCAGACTTACCAAAGCAGTTATGGGCAGAAACAGTTAACACAACAGTTTACTTGATCAACCGAAGTTCATCGGTACCATTGGAGCACGGAATACCAGAAGAGGTATGGAGCAGAAAAGAGGTAAAACTCTCACATCTTAGAGTTTTCGGCTGTGTAGCATATGTCCATATCATTGATCAAGGTAGAAACAAACTTGATCCAAAATCAAAGAAGTGCACTTTCATTGGTTATGGTGAAGATGAGTATGGCTACCGTATATGGGATGATGAAAACAAAAAGATGATCCGCAGCAGAGATGTAATCTTCAATGAAAGAGTGTTGTACAAGGACATGCATAAAACAGGTATTAGCAATTCAGAATCGAGTGGACCAGTTTTTGCAGAAGTGGAAGATGTCCTAGAAAATCCTATAGTGAGGAGTCCTCAGTCAGAGGAATCAATTGAAGAAGGTGATGTGCAACCAGAACCTCTTACTCCAACTCCTGTATTGAGAAGGTCCTTTAGACCTCATGTGCCAAACAGGAGATACATGGACTACATGTTGCTGACTGATAGAGGGGAGCCCGAAGATTATATAGAAGCTTGTCAAACCACAGATGCTAGCAAGTGGGAGTTTGCCATGAAAGAAGAGATGAAGTCTCTGATCTCCAATCAGACATGGGAACTAGTCAAGTTACCCATGGGGAAGAAAACACTTCACAACAAATGGGTGTATCGGGTGAAGGAAGATCATAATGGTTCCAAGAGATACAAAGCCCGACTAATTGTCAAAGGATTTCAGCAGAAAGAAGGAGTTGACTACACTGAAATCGTTGCTCCAGTCGTAAAACTCAATACTATTAGAACAGTGTTAAGTATTGTGGCTAGTGAAGAGCTCTACCTAGAGCAATTAGATGTGAATACTGCATTTCTCCATGGAGACTTAGATGAGGAGATCTACATGCACCAACCTGAAGGATTTTCAGAAGGAAAGAAGGATATGGTGTGCAAATTGAAGAAGAGCTTGTACGGTTCGAAACAAGCTCCAAGACGAGTGGTACAGGAAGTTTGAAAGCTTCATGCACAAGGAAGGTTTCCGAAGTGCAATGTCAATCACTGTTGTTTCTTCAAGAGGTATAAGTCCAGTTATATCATATTGCTACTTTATGTTGATGACATGTTAGTAGCAGGTTCAAATATGAGGGATATCAGAAATTTAAAGATGCAGTTGTCAAAGGAATTTGACATGAAGGACTTAGGACCAGCAAAGAAGATTCTTGGAATGCAAATCACGAGAGATAAGCAAAAAGGAGTTTTGCAGTTATCTCAAGAAGAGTACATCAACCATGTTTTGCAAAGATTTAACATGGACAAGGTCAAACCAATCAATACACCTTTGGCCATTCATTTTCGTCTATCCAAGGATCAGTCTCCTCAAACAAAGGAAGAAGAAGAAATTATGGCTAAGGTTCCGTATGCTTCAGCCATTGGAAGTTTGATGTACGCAATGGTCTGTACAAGGCCAGACATTGGCCATGCAGTGGGAGTTGTGAGCAGGTTTATGGCAAATCCAGGAAAGGCTCACTGGGAAGCCGTCAAGTGGATTCTAAGATATCTACGAGGAACAACAAAAAGATGTTTGTGTTTTGGAAAAGGAAATCTAAGATTACAGGGTTACGTAGATGCATACTTTGGACGTGAAGTTGATCACCGAAGAAGCACCACCGGTTATGTTTTCACTGTTGGTACTACAGCTGTTAGTTGGATGTCGCGAATACAAAAAAATGTTGCTTTATCCACTACAGAGGCTGAGTATGTAACAGTGACAAAAGCCAGTAAAGAATTGATATGGCTTCAAGGACTGTTAGCAGAGCTGAGATTCACTCAAGAAGGGAGTGTTTTGCATAGTGATAGTCAGAGTGCAATACATCTGGCAAATAATTCAACATTTCACTCCAGAACCAAGCACATTGATATTCGTTATCATTTCATCAGATCTCTACTTGAGGATGAGGTGTTAACATTAAAGAAGATTGTAGGAAGCAAGAACCCAACAGATATGCTAACGAAGGTGGTGACCATTGACAAACTGAAGTTGTGTTCAACTTCAGTTGGCTTGCAAGAGTAGCAGACCAGAGAAGACTACTGCATTAATCAAGGTGTGAGGACAGATTGAAATCAGTCCTCAAGTGGGAGATTGTTGGTGTTTGAAAAGTAAAAAAAAGGTGGCAAGTGGTTGGTTGGCAAGTGGTTGGAGACAAGAAAAATTGGAAAGCCTTAAATGCATAAGAACCATTCCTTTTGCTATAAAATGCTCTTTCACTTCACTCATTTCTATCTTCCAATTCCAAAGCAACCATTACAAGAGTTAGCCAACAAGAAGCAGAAAGAAAATAATCTAGCTTCTGGGTGTAATTGGGTTGAGGGTTGAGTGTTTTGAGAGTGCTTTGTAAACACCTGTGTATTTTCTTTTCTCCCAGTAAAATATCTGCAGTAGTCCGGAGACGTAGGCAATTTTGGCTGAACTCCGTTATCAATTGGTATGTCCAATTATTCCGTCTTTATTTCGTTTTTATTTCACTTTCATAGATCTGACTAGATGAAAAAGTTATGTGTATTTTTCCTAACAAATATAATGTATAATTGATAAGTAAAAAAATAATAAAGTAAATTTTAATATTTTGTAATTTATTATACATGTCAGTCTATAATCCTTAAACTATATTCACTCCAAATTTTGAGTAAAAATCATATTAATATAACTTACAAAATTTTAAAAATAGTCATTAAATTTAAGATCAAAATCATAAAAAGTAAGTTATAAAATTTAAAGAAGTCATAATCTCTTATCTCTTAATAAGATTTGTCTTGTAAAACCATTATTTTTTTTAATTATTATTATTAATCATCATTAAAAAATAAATAAATAGTATTAAGTAAATGTAATTTTATAATGTTATTACCATAAAATATAAATTAAAACATTATATTTTGGATTCTTAACTTTTACATAAAGACTAAATCAAATATATCTTAATTAATATTTAATTTTACAATTTGACAAAATATAATAATATCCTTTCCAATAATAAGTTTATATCTAGAATTAAAAAAAAAAACAAAAAATATATAATTCAAAATTATAAAAAATAAGATATGAATAATTGTAAATTAATAAAAATAGGTAAATTTTTGTCTTCTAGTAAAGAAAACTAAAAATTATTTCTTACAATAATAATAATAATAATAATAATAATAATAATAATTGGTAAAATAATCCTTTTTTTTTGTTACAAAGTAATTTATTCATATGTTTTCCTTATTAAAATTTATTTTCATTTAATTTAATTAAATTTATAAACAAAAAATATTTTTCTTCAAAAATACTAATTGAAATAGATTTTTCTTAATCTCAATTTTGAATAGACTGATTGGTTTTGAGAGGAGCCAATTTATGTATGAACCATCATATTATTTCTTGATCTGGCAGATGGAATCAATTAGTCGAAGTCCAGTTTGAAAAATAATGGTTAGCGTAGTTCTTCATGATCATACTTTCGGCTTATTTGTTGAATTTGAATCAAAGATGCATGAAAAAGGGTGTTCATAACTCTAAATTATTCTAAATGCCAATTGATCTAGAATATGTTTGCGTGTTGGTTCGTTAACTTCTTAGAACTAACTATTCAAATTAAACTAAACTGTTTCTTGTGAAATCAAGTCATCCCAAAATTAAGAATTGAATATTTGATGAATAGGTCACACATTCATCTTGTGATATCATGTTTGAAGAACACATATTAAGAAATTGATTGATTGATTCGTTGTTTCTACCTTGAAAAATGTGATGATAGATAATAAAATGATACAGAAGAAAGAGATGAGAAAAGTTTAGCATTTACACATGCATTATGTTCTAAGCCATTGCATTCTTCTTCCTTAAGTTTTCTATCAACTCCAAGTCTATGCCATGATCATGCCAATCAATTTTTTGTTTCTTCATGTCCAGTTAGCATTGAAAAGTAATATACTATAATAGCACAACTAGATCATTTTGTATAACAATTAAATAAATGGATTACTCAACCCAACTTGAACCTTATTTTTGTTGATTCTCACATGCAAATATGGAGGCATTTGAGTCATTGACCTTGAATTTCACCCTCTTCAAAATGCCGCATTATTGTTGATTTCTTTCTTGTACATAGTTCATTACTTCAAGATCATTTCCCAACATGTTGTCTATAGATATTTAAGAGTTAGCAAATTTACCTTGCATAATGTAAAATATTGTATACACTGTTTAGTCATAAACATTGTATCAAAATAAATTCAATTTTTAAGTCATCTATGCTTCAATTACACTTCTTTCCACCCAAATTCCGCTATTGCATGTGAAGTATATGGCCAGACTGTCAATGAAACTGACTTTGGTTCTTCTTTTCCGTTACTCTCCAATTCAGTATCCTTTTCAATTTCATCTCATTTTTTTGTCATTACATGTGAGATATATATACATGTGCAAATATTTTTTTTTTATATATATATACCTTGGAATGTGCAGCATAGGAATCAATTCATAGCAGCAAAAAGTAAACAGAAGTGAAGAACTAGTAATGGGGGATCATAGCTTCCTTGTGATCTTTTCACCCTTGTTGCTTCTCATAATTTGTGCACAAACAGGCTCAGCTCAACTTAGTCCTAGCTTCTATAAAAGCACATGCCCCAATGTGGAATGGTTGGTTCGTTCTGCTGTGGAGTTGAAGTTTCAGCAGACCTTTGTGACTGCTCCTGCCACTCTTAGACTCTTCTTCCATGATTGCTTTGTGAGGGTGTGTAAGCCTATCTGTTTCATGACTTCATGGCATAAACATACTGACAAGAATGCTAGAGACACTTTCTTTCATATTCTCTAACATTTGTTTATGATTAAACTGAAACTTATTGGAAATCCTTTTAATTTTGGTGGGTGATGTTTATTATTTAATACTTCACTCCTGATTTCGGAGTAGAATCTATCAAAATTGGTGGTTTTTAATATATTTCAGTGAATTCCTTGTGATGATTATCACATCACACTAACTATAGTTGGTGCTAATTGAGTTCAAATAACCACTTACATGCTCATTCTTGCATCCATGCTTTAAGTAGTATCACATTCTATTCTAGTTTCTACAAGTTAATTTTAATCCATTTCAATTATGAAATAAACAATGATACCAAAGAATATCTATGAAATTGCTTCTATGTTTTATCCAATAAGCATGAAAATGCAAGAGCATTTATATAACTTGTGCATTTATCATGTTCATTCATTGTTCAATGATTTTGAATTGTATGGCTTTTGAAAAGGCTATTGATATTGCTTACATTTCTTCACAGGGTTGTGATGCTTCCATTTTGCTTGCATATCCAAATAATAAGGTTGAGAAAGATCACCCTGATGACATTTCACTAGCTGGGGATGGCTTTGATACTGTGGCTAAAGCCAAGGCAGCTGTTGATAGTGACTCTCAGTGCAGAAACAAAGTCTCTTGTGCTGATATTCTTGCTCTGGCTACTAGAGATGTGATAAATTTGGTATATGGCTTTTTCATTACTTGAAGTTACTGATCAAATAGTTCTATTTCTACATTCTACCTCTAATCCAAATTCTGAGACAGACATTCAATTTATCCCTCGTCAAATACAGGCTGGGGGACCATTTTATAAAGTTGAACTGGGAAGGCGTGATGGCAGAATATCTACTCTTTCCAGTGTTCAACACTCTCTTCCTCAACCTCATTTCAATTTAGACCAGCTCAATTCAATGTTTTCCTCCCATGGCCTCACACAGACAGATATGATTGCCTTATCAGGTAACTTTACTAACACACTGACAAGGTTCTGTTTATTCATTGTTCAAGAAAAACTAACATTCTATTCTAATCATGATAATACGATAAATTTATTTAGAATGCAGTTTTAAACACATATTCAATCATAGATGATCATATTTAAAATGATTTCTAGTTCATGGATAATGTAATTTTGAGTGACAATGCATGAAAACTAAACTCTTGAACTACATTTCTTCAAATATCTTTCTAAGAAGCTTGAAAATGATATGTTTTTGTGTTAGGTGCACATACAATTGGATTCTCTCACTGCAATCAATTCTCAAAACGGATCTACAACTTCAGCCCCCCTAAACTAATTGACCCAACATTAAACTTACAATATGCCTTCCAACTGAGACAGGCATGCCCTCTTAGAGTTGATTCAAGAATTGCCATAAACATGGACCCTGTGACACCCCAAAAGTTTGACAACCAATACTTCAAGAATCTCCAGCAAGGAAAGGGGTTATTCACTTCTGATCAGGTCCTGGCTACAGATGAAAGGTCAAGGGGCACAGTCAACTTATTTGCATCAAATGAAGGAGCTTTCAACAATGCTTTTGTTCAAGCCATTACTAAGATGGGAAGAATAGGTGTTCTAACTGGAAGACATGGGGAAATAAGGTCTGATTGCTTCAGGGTGAACTGAGAAAGTGGAATGATGGTATGTTCTTTGGAAAAATGTTTGGTCCCCAACACCAAAAAAACAGTGCTAGTAGAGTTGTAAGGTGATAGAATCAAAGTGAAAATGTGGGTAAAGAAAAGTGAGAGTAGTTGTGATAAAAGAGTGAGAATTGTGAAAATTTGAAGCAATGTGTGAAAGTAAAAGTAAGTAACTTTATCCACTTTATTTAGGATAAATAGAAAATTAGTCTTTCATAGTTAATTTAGTCTTTGAAAAAATAAAAATATGATTTAGGTTTTTTCTCCATTCACCCATTATAAAAGATTGGAGTGCTAGAAAATGTTCTTTTGCTCTGTTATGTTGTGCGCCTTCTTTGGTTGTATTACTGGCTCATAGGCTTCGTCAATCACTTTATCTGTCTCCTAAGTTTGGTAAAACAGCTATAATGGATTGTGCTGGGAAGTTTTATCACTCCTACGATTAATTGAGAAAAACAAATATGATGTGCAACTTTCTACTATTCTTCACAATATCTTACTTGTCAACGTAACTATTATTCTGTGTCCACCAACAATGGTAGTACTCTCAGAATGAACAAGCATTTAGTTGGAACATATAAGAATTACATCACTTATCAATCTAACCACTTTTGGCTCATGCCCACATTATGGTATGGTTGGAGTTTACTGTTTCCTTAATGACATGTGAAATTTAATCATTATCTCAGAAATGTTTTGGGTACTGAATCATTTTCTTCTTTAAGATTTTCATTCATTTTGTTCGTTGAATCACACACACACATATATATATATATATATATATATATATATATGATTCATGATTTAACAGTCGAAATAGATTCTCTAGCTATATTCTGTAGCAATATAACATATTTTCTTCTCACCCAAAAAGTAAAAAAAAATTACTAAAAATGTAAATATTTATCATACTTTAACCAATAATAAATTATCAAATGAAGTAAAATTGTTTAACTTTTGTAATATTTCTTTAAAACTCTGGTATTTAAGATGGTGTTTTTGACAGATTAATGGAATAAGTTTTGTTAGATTAACCTTATATAACATCAAGTAATATTTTGCGATGGAAACGTCAGGAGACAAATTGAAGCAAGCAACTAAAGGTAAATTTATCATTGAGTTCATTCATTTTTATTGTACACATTCAGTTTAAAACAAACCCACTTTTGAAGAATTTTTTAGATGGAAAAAAATTGATCAGAAATCGAGAAAGAAGATTGGCTAATAAATTGTTGGAGACACACTGGTATTTGGAGGTTGTCGTGTTGTTAGCCTTATGAAGGAAAGGCACGAGGCCAAAGTCTAGCAGACAAGAAATTGCCTAACATTATCTTGTGTCATGAGGTCCCATCAATTAGCAAGTGTTCAAAATCTTCTGCTTAAGAAGTTGAATATTCATCTCAAACAACTTGCATTCATAGTGTACAAATGAATCAGTAACAACCCCATTACCACATCAAAGAAACAACTTCTGAGCACACAATAGTGCATGTTGTGACAATTTTCTGGGAGCAAAATTTCAGTACTGCTGTACTATTTACACTTCTGACAGATGTCACTCTAACTTTTGACTTTTTCTTTTTCTTTTTCTTATTCTTGTCACATACTTTTTAAAAGAAGTAGAAAAAATAACTATAAATATTAAGTGTCAAGATTTTTGTGATTTTAAGAGCACATACTACATGCTCCTAGAAGACTGATTTTTTTTCCTCCAACACATGGAAGGTGTGATGTTGATAACCATTTTTGAGATGTTGCCACTTGCCATGTATGTGATGCTCTTATCCTGTAGGTGGTAGTGCATTTTTTCTTTCCAGAACAAGGTTCACAATACCATCATTTTCAAAACAAGAATTTTGGCCAAGAAGAACCTTCACCATTTTGATTTGATGTACTCTTTTGACAATTGGCATTCCTTGTACACTTAAATTCACATTTGGTGCCAAGTAGTACTAGGTTCTGCCTTTACAATAGGTTTGAAAATAGTATGTAGGACAAGAAAGTAAATTAATAAGCACATCAAACCCACTCTAACTATTTACAGAAAGGGACACTCAGAAGTGGGAGTATAAGTTATCCATTTATTGGAATAAAGTAAAAAAAAAAAAAAAAAACTAATCTAGGAATCTGAACACATGAACCATAAAAATTCAGTGGTCCATGTAGAGTTGAGAAGAAGGATACATGATACAATCAAACAAGTTAAACTCTCCTATTTAAGCTTTAAACCTTGAGAAAGCCAATGTGGTCCCTTTCTCTCTTGATCAAATGTCACACTTGAGCTGCTCATGGGTGTGGTGGGGTCACTGCAATCTCCCACCCTATCTGATTGGAAAGAGACAGAAGAATTTAGCTCCCTAGTTTTCCCATAGGGTGAATCTGAGCACCCTAATGGGAGAAGATAAGGTTTCTTACTATTAATGTTATTATTATTATTATTATTATTCTTAACTTGGCTTCCTCCTATGCTTAAAGTCAAATCCACTTCCATGTCTTCATCAGACCCATCATTGCTGCTTATTTTACACCTCTCAAGTGCAGTGTAGGAGCTAGGTCCTGCCTCATGTTCATCACACCCTCCAAAAATGTCTCTCTCAGCAGGCCTTTCAAGGTCAAAACCCCTTTGTCTCTTCATGGTCTCTCCAGAACAACTTCCACTCCTTTCCTTTGAGCATAGCTCCTCTCTCAAACTTTGGACATGGAAATCAGGTCCATATGAAATTAGTGTTGTAGTAGTTTCCTGTTGTTGTTGTTGATGTTGAAGGAAATGGGAATGACTCATGTCTATGCCATTCATTGGAGTCCAAAATTTCTTTTGTTTAGTTTCCTTTCTTAGGTCATCCATCAGCATCTTTTGCACACTGTATACCCGGTGTAGTTCCCTCACCTACAAATTCCAAACACTCATGATTATTTGCCAACTAGCAATAGCTTCAAATTTCAGCTTGCCATATTGTCCCTTCTCACATAACAAAAATATCATTGGAATGTAAAAGAGATTTTAACAAAATTGTCAAGATAATGTTACTTGTATGGTCCCTATTAGGAACTGTAAACAAATAATTAAGACTAGTAGAATTATTAAAATTTGACCATGGATACAGTACAGATGTCACAGAATTCAGGACACCTTACACTGATTTTGACATCAGCATGGTCATGGTCACGGTCACGGTCAAAAGAATAATGATTGTACACTATTAGCAATTTTTTTTGTACAGTGCCCTCCAAAATCCAAAGATAATAAAAGGTGAAAGTCTCTCATTCAGTTGGACTGAAATCACATGTCCCTCTTCTTGCTCAGTTCACATCCCCTAATCAAAAAGTAGTATCACACGCTTAAAAAAGTAACACACTTGACAGTTTTTGTTTCCCTTCACATACCACTTTTTAATCGGGGTAAAAAGGAAAGAGGGATATGTACTTTGGTTCCCATTGTGTTGGGGTCTTGGAGTATAAGGTAGTATTTGGAATCATGTGACACTAATATGTTATTCAAGCACATTCAATCAGGAATGAACATGAATTTAGAACCAAAGCAAGTCTTTTTGATCACCCTATGACATTTTCTTCATGCTGTGTGTAACATTTTTACTGCAAATTGAATGACAACCTGAATTTTGTACTGTTAAGATGAGAAGATAAATCTTACGACATGTATATGGTACCTGCTGTTTGAAGATGTCCTCATGCATCTGCATTGTCTTTTTGATGGACTCTATGTTGTTTCTGTCAAACATCCTATCCATGGGATCTTGCAATTTATTAACTCCAAAACTAAAATGGTTGTTAGTCACTCCTTTGTTCTGATAATGCTCCCAGACATCCACACCACCCACAATGAAGTTGTTGCTTTCAACTGCTGAGGATGCTAGAAGATTTATGGAATATTCAATTTTAGTTCCCATGCCTGTGAAAAAAAAGATACCTTTTTAAGTTTTTTTTCTCACCACTATCAGAGTTCAACTTCTGTGCCCAGTTAGTGCTGAGTAATGGCATCAACAATTGGAAAATTGCTTTTTATTAGGCTTGTGCTCATATGAAACATGTTATTTCTTTATCTGCTTCTATGGTGATTAATAATCTCAAGAAACATCAAATACTAATGAAGCAATGTTTAACAGGTCATCATACCATTTGGAAGGGAAGAAACTAAGGAATTCACATATGGAGTATCGAAATTCCAAAGAAGTAGTCATAATAAAGCTTCATATCATGTGCAAACATTAAATTGCAAGATTCTGTTGCTTCCTTTTTGGGTGCATAGGTATAGAGCCAATATCTTGCAAAGGTACTACTTTGATGTTTGAATAAATTTGTCAAAACAGGGGCAACTTTCCTTACCAAAAGTACAGAGGGGACAGAGAATTTGCGTAGAAAGGTTCAAAAGTGTAAACAAACATTGCCATTATGCTGAAGAAGTATGAAATAATGAACATTTTGATGAAGGCATTTAGGTGGGTCTGTGTGTGGGATGAAAGCATCACTACCACCACTAAGGCCAGGCCCATATCATTGATCTTGATTTGCTATTCTTAGAAATTAGCACAGAAAAGTGTTCATTTCAAATTGTTCCTTATAAAGCTAGGCGCCATGAAAAGGAAAGGAAAATAAAGCAAAAAGACAACAACCAAACTTTTATATCTAAAGAAGCTCAGATAGAGACCCAGAAAAGAGTTCAAGAGAATTTAACACAGACACAAGGAGTTTAAATGTCAAGATATGAACAAGTCAACACAAATTTTCTTGAAACTTTTTTTATGCATCATCACCATGGATGGACATGAACACCACTGTAAGACCAACCGAAGCAATTAGAAATGGTCTTCAACCTTCAAGGTTGATGAAACACTCAAGAAGCATTAAATCTGAGAACTGCAACACCTTCGCCGACCTTAGTTCTTTGGAGACTGGGACTTCACACCAAAGGAAAAAAAAATAGTTGATGTCTGTTTAAAAGTTTATGTAAAGATCACCTGTCGTAAGAAGTACCGAAATTGCAGCTTTCTGTGATGAATTTCATTGAGCATCTTCCTCCCTCATGCCAGCATTTTTTCCCATAGGTTAGTCTTTGTACTAATTAAGCCAATACTAACACAACAAGAGGCCAATTCTCTCATGGTTCTCCTTGAGTCATGGTTGAAGGGAAAAGCAAAGGAAAGATCAATCCAAGTGGTGCACACCTATGTAATTTAGAGAAAGTTCATAGAAACACCAAAAACTCTTTGCTGTTCAATTCAACCCTTTACTTGGACACGACAAAGCAACCAGCTCAAATTTTAAAACAAGAATGATGGGGTTAATAATTAGGCTTGACAGGCTGTTTGAGAGGGAAGCAAGGGAAAAGCTGGAACTGCAATGTCTGTATGTATGTGTGTGAGTGCTTGAATGATTTTGAGAGAGAGAAAGAGGGAAGAGGGGATGATATAATATGAATATTTTGTATTTGTGAACATATACTTTAATTTAATGTATTTTGTATATGTGTAGTTCACTGTAATGTGGGAAAGGATAGGGAGTGGGGACCACAAAGTTGCATAATAACAACAAATGACACTCCTAAACATGAGCCAATGTAGGCCAGTGAACAAGATATTCCAGACAAAGTCTTGCAGGGCTTAATCAAGATATGCATGAACAATGAAAGTTAGTGCTTCTTTCCAATAGGACCTACCACCTCTTTCTCCCTTTAAAATTTCCTGATTTTGGATATTCAACGATTGAGATTTGATTATTCTTTCCGTACATGCAGAACAATATCTAGAGATCTGTTATGTTTGAGATTTCACCAGAGTGTACCGATTTCAGTTCAGGTGGGTGGTCATTGGGATTCCATGTGTATTGTTGTGGTAGTGAAATTTTTCCTCTGCTGCAGTAAATTCCATTGGCTTGGTATTTGAATTTGATAATGACTGCTTCTTCCATGGAGGAAAGAAGATGAAGAATGGACACACACATGCTCTCTTGTGAGCATCTTACTTCTGCGTATGCATCTTACTTCTGAAACCCTGAAAATAATAAAATTCACTGAAATTGTCAACAATAAAAAATAATAAAGACGAGACCCATCTCATAAATAAAATAAAATAAAAATGTTTTTAGTCTCTTGTAACATCCAAAAGCTTTAACTTTTCCAAAAAAACAGTCTTCATAAGTGATACATATAGTTTTAACCCCTGTAATAAAAACGTTGTTTTATTTAAAATAGGAAGATTGAAATTCTTTCAAATTTTAGTGGGAATAAAATTAAATTCAGAAATATTTGAAGAAAGTAAAAAAAATATTTTTTATTTTACCCATAGAAAAAGTATACATTTTTATTTTACCCTTAAATTTTCTGGTTGATAGTAGTAAGTGCAAGGCAATTCAATTTTATTCTCCTGGAAAAGCAGCTTGCTTTTTTCTCCTTATGTCAACCTTAAAATAAAGTTATGGAATTGAATTATTGTATAGAACTTCCTCAAGTGAAATAAGAGGAAAATAATAATTTGTTTGAAAATGGAAAAAGGGTATATGATGACTTTTCTGAGTTTGTTGAAGGAAAGAATTTTGATATGTATGGAGAAGAAAAAGAAAGCATGATGTGTGGTGCATCCAATGGATGTTCCCACGTCAGTTGTGTCCCATCTTCACTCTCTTGCTGCTTTCTTTCTGCCATTTTCCTTACACACAAATATTTAAGAAAAAAAAAAAAAAGATATCAAAGTGAATGGAAACTTGAAGTTTCTTTTTATGAGTTGTCAGTAATAATTGCAGAAAACATAAAGAATTGAGATGGAAGGATGAGAAACTTCTCACCCAATGAATAATTTTTCCCTGCAGGTCAAAGTCAAAATAGTTCTTTGTAGGAGCCTAAAAATTTGTAAAGGAGAAATTTTTAAATTATATCTACCAAACTATAATTTCTGATATTCTTAATTTTAAAAAAAATATAAGAATATTAAAAAATAATAAAAGATAAAAATTAAAAGCTCCTATTTTTTTTTCCTATTCATTAATAAATAATTATGTTTTTTTTAATCTAATTTGAAAAGGTTGTCTTTTTAAGATTCGAAAATTGTGATCCTGAAAATAATGGCCACACAGATCCGTGTGTGTGTTGTGATGATTAAGAAAAGCATAGATTTTGCTATTTAAACATTTTAGTATTTGTATTTCCTTTTCATACATGCCAGTCTGTGGTGTTTTGTTTTTTAGTTGGGATCCAAAGCCCTCTAGTTTTAGGGGGGTCTTAATGCTACCTTTGCTTTCACATTTTGTTGCACACAAAACAATGCACACGCGTGCTATATAGTACATTTCTTCATTAATTTACACACCTCATCCCACATGTTTCTTTTAGCTTCGCTTCCTCTTCCCTCACAAAAAGTCATATCTCTCTATCATCATCATCATCATCCATTGCATGATATAATTAAATTAAAGATAACATATGATTTTTTTTTACTCAATCAAAAATATTAGTATAGAATCTAAGCCTATAAAAAATATTTAAAATAAAACATATTTTTTAATTTTATTTTTGTTGCTTGAAGATTAGTTCATTTGTTTTTATATAAAAAATTAAAATATGTCAAATTTCTTTTTGCTTAAGAACTTTCTTAAAGTAATAGTTCGCGTGTGTATTAAAGTTACCTATTATTTTATTTTAGTAGTCTAACATTTATTTATTTAATGAGATAATGTTTACTTAATATTCTATTATGAATAATTGAATAAGATTTTTTTCATACGGAGATAAAGTTTTATATTTTCAAAAATTGTAAATTGAAACCATTTAAATTTATCAAAATAGTAATTCCAAAATTAATTTAACAACTCACCCTCCGTTTCAAATCATAAAAAAAAGAGTCGAATAATATAAAATTAGAAAAAATATCTTCAATTTTTCAAACAGTTTTAGGTCCCATTATAGTGATACATCTTAATTATATGTAAGGACATGATTTGAAAAAAAAAGTTTAAAAGACTCTAAATTATTATTGAAAAAAAAACGTTTAAAATCTCATTTTAAATATGTGAAGTTTTTTTTTCCTCACACTTTTAATCTAATAGTCAATAAGTTATATTGCCAAGTTTTGTTTTTTCTCTGTTTCTATTAAAAAGTAAAACATTTTTTTATTTTATTTTCTTCTTTTATTAAAAAAAAATACTTAGCTACTATTGTATTGCTGATTTGGTCATCGGTTTATTTTAATAGTCAATAAGTTATATTGCCTAGTTTTTTTTTCTCTATTTCTATTAAAAAGTAAAACATTTTTTTTATTTTATTTTCTTCTTTTATTAAAAAAATCTCTCTTCATTTTTATTTTTAATTATTATTATTTTCATTTTTTCTTATACTCATGTAAATTACATAAATTTTTTAAGTTTAAATCTCTTTTTTTATATATATATATTTAGTCGAAGTCAATCAAATAGATCATAACATAATAATTATCCACATTGACTCATCTTAACTTCTTCATTGCATTTTAAAAACAAAAATAGATTTTTTTTTCATAAAAGTTGTTTGATAATAACTCGTTTAAAATACCCTAATTTCATTTGGATGATTGTGAATATTATTTGTCTAAAAGTATTTTATGTACCCAACAGAAGTTTGAATAAAGTATTTTTTATTATAAAGAAAATGGTCTTATGCAAGTGTAAAGTGTTCGATCATTATATTAACTAATGAAATTATAATTATACTTTGTTTAAGAAACAAAGTAACACATAGCACCTTTAAATGGTAAAATGTTAGGATCTAAAAGTAGGGTTGATGGAGATGATGATTCTTTGAACATATTCACTTCATATAAAACGCAGGTTATGTCAAACCTTCTGTTCTGTTTTTCTTCGTTGAATATGTAGCATTAATTAGTTTGGTTGAAGAACTTAGGTTATAAAAAAATAGGAAGTTGATGGGTGTAGGTTGGCCACGTGAAGCATGCACATGAACAATGGACCTAACAATGAACACCAACAACACCACCAAAAACAGCAGAGAGAGATTGAATCATGCATTGTTGCACAAAACAACCCACCAAAACTAAAAATATATCTCAATCATATCACCATCTATTTTCTTGGAGGATCGATCCATATTCGATGTTGTTAACTATGTCAACATGTTGTCGTTTTCTAGCAAAACTGTGTAATACGAGAAAGAGGGATTCATAAAAAATTAATGTCAAAATCGAAGTTCCAGAATTTTATATTTATGTAGACATAAAAACATACATAGCTTCAATATATATGCTGTCATGAATTGCTCTCAGCATGACGGTGATAAATCATAAATATGCCATTATTTTATTAGTTTGGTTAGATTCCTTTTCTTTTATGAAAAAAAAAACAACATCATTATAATAAAATGAATAATGAGAATGAAGAATAAATTAATTACTAATAGATAGAGGATTTTTTTTTTGAAATATCAAATTTATTTTAAATATTATTATGTACATATAATATTGTATTTTATTGTTGAAAAAAAAAATTAAACTTAACCCTTATTGAGTGAAATCATAGGGACATTCAAAATGGGTTGTAGCTAGCAGGATAAGTCTCTCTAAACAGTGAATTTGCAAGGAAAAAAAAATGTTGTAATTAAAAAAAGTGTGACAAGCAATGAGGAAGAAAATTAGGTTTTGTTGAAGTGGTCCATGTTGTAACCTCACTATGGAAAAAAATGTGTACGGTTTTAGGGTGGACATGGAAGCATAAAGGCTAGTCCTAGACTTGAAGTTGCAGCAGCTTCTTCATTGGGTCGCCAAAGGCACGCGTTGTACCCTAACTAAGGCACACCCCATGGCAAACTAGCCCCACACACCACCATTACTTTCTTCTCTTTTCATTTTCGTTATTTTCTCTTTCTTATTTTCAAACAAATACAGAGAAAAGAATTTTGTCACTGATAGTGTTGTTTGTTGTGGGTCCGTGGGGGACTCCTTCATTTTTAGGACAACTTATCTTACAATGCCATTTTTTGTAGGAAAAATAAATCAAACAAAGAGAGAAAAGTGATTGGTGGTGAAAGAGGAAATATAATGGCTTAAGATAAGATTGATGCAAACAATACATATATTTAAAAAATAAATTCTCAATATGAATTGTTAGAATTTATATTAATTTAAACAAATATGATTTTTTTTATTTCCTTAGTTTTATTTTTTAATTCTATATAACTTGACTCTTGCGTCAATATCTTGATATTCATACTTAAACTTAAAAATCTATTTTCGTGCTCAGAAACTTAGTACATTTGCCAAAATGTACTAACATGTCATATTTTTAAGTAATATTTCAATAATAACTAATATTTTTAAAATCGGTAGATAATTTTAACTTGTTAAGTAATATTTTTCTTTCTTAAAAATACTTAAAAAGAAGAAGAAGAAGATCGTAGCACTTATTTTTTAATATTTTCTTGGTCATTCATAACATCATGAGATCATCCCCACTCAAACGAAGCAGATTCTTTCACCATTATAAATCCAAATAAGTGCATGATGAGTAGTCACATATATGAACCTTCTCATCCTCTAATGGCTGCTTTGTTATCTTCCTTCTTCTTCACTTGGTATCATCTGAGTTAGTTCACCGTTCATAATTGCTTCAAGTTTTGGCACTTTCCATAAAAAACTAAATTTAATTATGGACCAAATTGGTATTTAGAATGTTCTTGTCAATCTCCTATGTACCCCACCCCTACCTCAATCATGGAATATAGTTTGGGAATAACCAATCAAAAGAGGCACACAATCTAATAAGAAAACCCCATGACAATAAATCTTCAATTGGATCTAAAAAACTCAGCATATTTTTTATCTTCCATTGACACAGCTCTGTGGTCCCCATTGCATAAAAAACATAACTTTATGTATGATTGGTCCCTTCAAATTGGTTTCTCACAAAATTTCAACAAATGGGTGCGTGCCACTTTATTGCATAATATATAATACAAGAGCCGTCATGATCCACAGATTCATAAGAAGGGGTCACACTGAGTCACTCACTCACTCACTCACATGGATGCCTTGTTGATAAGGTATGCCAAAAAAAAAATGTTGTGTGGTGTGTCATGTGGGGTCAAAACACATTGTGGGGATGACAATTGTCACTCACCCAACCTTGTAAATTGTTCATAGTACTACTCTTATCATGTTGTGTCCAAGTTCCAACCAGAGTGCAGAAGATCTAATGTTCACTTTCTGATTTGACATGTTTTGGGATCAGTTTGTGTTGATTAGTTATGATTTTTTTCATGTGCCTTCACTAATAGGCCTCTACTTTGGTTGATTAAAGAAGCAATTGACTCAAGATTGAGCTTTTTGCAGAAGCATGCCAAGTTAAAGTCACCTTTTCTTTTCATTTGATTGATCACAATGCCCAATCACCATATATATTCCTTCAGATAAAAGGGATCTCAGGAGCATCATACCCATTTTATATTATTATTTTATTCATATCATATCATATAATACTAATTTATGTGATGCCAATCTGTTAAATTAAACTCTGATTGTTATCATCTTTGGAATTAGTATCCACCTTCCACAAACTACAATTTACTGGTTTATTTTATGGACGGGACATGCATATTATCCTTAACTCTAATTCCAAACTATATAAATCATAATTACCCTTTAATTTTCACGTGGGTGATGAAGATTAGAAGCACCTTCTAATTCGTTGGTGCCATTGGAAGAGACTATGTGCCTAACATGGAGTTCTAAAAGTTCAAAAAATCTAAATTTTTTGTAATGGAAAGTCAAACCACTATTGATTTCGTGGTGTCTAAAATCTCCATGACAAAGAAAAAAGTAACTTAGTTTATGTTTTCTTTAGAGATAATCTAATTCTAACGTGACACAACCCACCTAAAAATATTTTATAGAATATATTTACATCAAATAAAAAAGAGGAAAACGAATCACACAGGTTGGTTCATCGAGAAACACAGGCAAAAATATAATTAGCACGATTCTGAAAAGAAAAAAAACATAAAAGAAAAGAAAAAAGTTTGGATCCAATTCAGCCTCCACATTCAATGCATGAGATTGGAGTTAGGAGTTGAGGGGGAAGAAATATTAAAAAAAGAAGATAGAAATTGATATTTAAAGGACAAAAGGAATCTCTCCATTTTGAGATGAAGGGTTATCTTCTCTGGATCCAATACCCTCTCTCTTCATTTATAACAATATCCTCTTCCCCACGTTATTCCACCTGTTACATTCACATTATTCTACTCTCTATTCCTTAATTTCTTTAAACCCTAATCCTCAATTATTGTTCACCAAATTATTCTGTCATTTCTATCTTTCCTTGTCATTCCTCATTGTCACATAAAATATCAAATCAGAACACAAAGTGGTTGTATACGTTACAATACAAGGACACTCTTTTCTTTCAACGATTGGCTCTCTCTTTTTTTTTTTCTCATTCAAATTTCTTTGATGGTCTATTTAGATTCTACTAGAAATTTCCATTTTTTTTGGTGTATTTGGTGGTATTTTTCTTAAGGGGAGGGGTCAAATTATTATTATTGTTATTTAAAGATTAATTTTGTTGTTGGACTTGCAAAGATCCACAATAAAGTTGGTGTTGTTTTATCATCACATGGAGGGTGCATTGAGTTAGGATTGGATTGTGATTTAGAAATAAGGGAACAACAGACAAGAATCTGAAAGTTTGATTGCATTGTTCTTTTGTTCTTAAGGAATCTGTTTGGTTAAGAGGTCAGAAAATTAAACTTCTCCAAACAATATCTGTCCATGTGTTTGGTGAATAGATCCATTGAGTTTAGAAGGGCAAGGAATGTTTATTAGGATATAAGGATGCTTTCTTGATGTAGATGTAAGAAAAATATCTTCTTCTTTTTTTTTTCTCTTAATTAATTCTTTGGGCAATCAAAGTTTGAATATTAACTTAAAATTAAAAGGGTTTGGTTAAGAAGTGATTTTTTTTCAAACCCAAGATTTATTTTATTTTTTTGTTAAAAACAAGATTCTCAATAAAATCTTTTCTATATGTACAAATAAAAAATCAAATCACTATTGAGATGTTTAACAAATTTAACTATCTATTAATTATGTTTCACTTTGTTGATATAAAATGATTTAGCACAACAACTACCTATGTCATATGAACCCATAAGTTCATAGAACTATGCCACATACATGAAAATTTAGCATATGGAGAAAAGGAGAAAGACAAAAAAAAAAAAAAACAATAAAAAAGTCTCCATATTGCTGTCTAATCATGCATATCTTTTGATTCCACATTGCAAAATATAAATGAAAAGAGGAAAATGAGATTAGGATTAACAAAAAAAATATTATGATGGGTTACATTATTGATTTGGAAAATGAAGATGAAAAGGAGGGGGTGGGGGAACATGACTTTTGGTCGGATAGGATAGGGTTACTTTTTTCGTTGGTCAAAAAGAGAGAGAAATAGATGTGTTAGAAGTGTTGTTCCATGACTAAGATTAAGGTTAGAAATGAAGGGCACAACGTGTGGGCCTGAGATTGTGCTTAAGTTGCTTGGATTGCATGTCACTCACAACTTCACTTGGTTGGTTGTTGTGGCCACCCAAGCTTAGTGACATAGCAAAGGAAGAGCGTGTGGGAGTAGTGGCTAACTTGAAATGACCTTTGTGCCTAATTCAGTGCTCCACAACCTACCTGGGTCGTCCACACACACAACAGGCCCAAAAAGACAATTTCCCATTTCTAACTAACACCTGTGGATGGTAGAGGGGTAAAACGGACACTTCATTATGTCTAGTATGTTTAATTAAAATTGAGGTGGAGTGGATTGATTCGCACTAATTAGAATGAGGAATGAATTTTAGTTTGTATTGTTAAAAGGCAGATTTACACGTCAGTTAAGAAAAAAATTAATAATATATGTTTAATGAGAGATTTATCTCAACCATCTACATTTTCCGATCTTATTCGGAGTTGAGAGGGCTGTGGTCTCCCCAAAATTTTGTAATTTCAATATAATTTATGATTTTGACCCCCTTAAATATAATGAATATTTAATATATTTATTTATATATTTAGAATTTTATCCTTTCTCCTCCTCAATTTTGTAACTCTCATATAATTTATGATTTTGTTCTCCTCAAACTTAATAATAATTTAACATATTTAAATATATATTTACAATTTTATCTTTTTACTCTTTCATCTTCTTTCTTCTTTTTATATTTATTTATTATTTATTAATAATATATTATTTAATCTCTTCTGCATCAATTATTAAGATCCAAGAGTATAGTATAAAACCACCTAATCAACCATACCATGATTAGGGTTTGCTTGTTTGGGCAATCGTGGTACTTGTCTTGTATTAGACAGAATTAACTATACTCATCAGTATAAATGACTTCTTACAAAAAGTTTTAGGAATGATTTTGTAGCTAATGATGTTGAGTGGGAATTATGACATTGTTTCAACAGGAAGAAACGTAGCTCCAAAAAGAAAATTTAGGGTTTCGTGCGTTTCTGAAAAGCTTGTCCGTACGTTTTGATTTTTCCTTTCAAGTAATCGAGTTTGGTCTTGACTTGACCTGCCCAAGGAAGGTGGATTTACTGTATTGGTGGATTTAAATTACTTTACGTTGCTGATTCTTTGTTCAAATCCTCGTATCCTTTTACGAGTTCTTTTCACAACACTTGTGCCTTTTTGTATTTTTGTCATTAAATTTAAAGAGATACACAGTGACAATTTCAAAATGGTTTTTTAATTAATCAATATTTTTTATTTTTGAAAATAATGGTTCCCAAAAATAATTATTTTTGAAAATCATAATTTTTGAAAATACTTCATATTTATTTGATGGAATAAAAATATATTTTATGCAAAATAATAATTTGTTACATTTTCATTCACAAATGTAAGGGGTGAAAAGAAAAAATAAGGTGAGAATAGCAGCCACTCCATACATCAACTGTTGGGCTTTAGGATTTGATTTCTGTTGGGATTGTATTTAGGCCCAAAACCCATCCATAACCAAATGTTTCAGTTCTGGCCACATACTTTAGGTGACTTTGTTTTATTTTATTTATTTGTTTTTCTTTATCATCATCACAGAGAATCAATATCAGCCAATCAAGAAATGGTAGCTATCAGCATCTCCTTCCCTGATGCTAATATCAAAACTGAACTTCATCAAGAGACAAAAATGCTGCAACATTTTATATAAACCAAAATAATTTCAGTTTCAGCTGTTGCTCATATTCTTATGGTAGTTTTCTCTGCTTTCCACTCACAATCAGATGTTGGGTGGTGCACTTTCAACCCCAACAACTCAAAGCCTCAAAGCAGCAAGAACAATTGCAATGCTCTATCCAACTCATAGATTATTGTCTCTTAAGGTACTTTTTTTCTACTTTGTTGTTTGTTCCTGTTATTTCTTATGTTTTTATTGTGTTATACTAGGATTCTTTAGTTTTGGTAATGGGCACGTGTCAACTCTATGCGACTCAATTTTTTGTTTTTCCAGAACCCAGTGGCAAATACCAGAGGATTTTCGTCAAAAGAGAGTATTTTTATCAGGGGTCACCAAATCAATATAAAACAATTTTTTGGGCTTATCTCGGGTCGTGCTCCACGAAACAAAGCAGGTGCTAGTTACTCTCAATGCTTTCTTTATTCAAGAGCTTCATCAGTTAGAAATTTGAATGATTGCATTGATTATTACATTAACATCATGCCAAATGAGTACCAGAATTTTACATCATCAATGTTTTCCAGCAAATTTATTACGGTACGAATTTGAAGTTGGTTAGTGTAGTGGATTATTGAAATGAAAGATGAATTTGCCAAATGAGAAAAGAGTAATGGAGGATGAAAGTGTGAACAATGTTATTTCATGATGTGGCATTATAATATTACAATTATGCATCGAAGTAGCTTGGAAAGGGTGCGTGTGAGTAGACAGTTGATTGCAGCACTCACATTCCTATGTTGCAGGATTTGTTGTTTCCCCAAGGTGTGGCCTGCCACTGACACAAGAGAATGTGGAGAAGGTTTTGGATGAGGTGAGGCCTGGCTTGATGGCTGATGGAGGGAATGTGGCATTACATGAGATAGATGGTCTTGTTGTTGTCCTCAAGCTACAAGGGGCATGTGGATCATGTCCTAGCTCAACTATGACATTGAAAATGGGAATAGAAACTCGCCTCAGGGATAAGATTCCAGAAATCATGGAAGTGGAGCAGATAATGGACACTGAGACCGGTCTCGAGTTAACTGAAGAAAATGTAGAAAAAGTATGAAAAACTTCGTGCATTGCATAACTTCATTTGCCTCTTGAATTTTAAGTCAGGTGTAAAAGCTAAGTGATCTAATTAAAATGTTTTTCTTTAGTTTTCATCTCATGTATCTTACTCATCAACTTACAACAAATGATTGGTGTATTGTGCAAATCATGATGAAATTTTTTGCTTATGTTGAGGCCAAATAGCTTCTCATTCTTCAATCATTTGTCTAGGAGCATAAACATTTATTATACCCGCAAGGCTAGAACTAAAATTGAAGAACTATCAGAACATGTATTGGTATTATGTAAACATTTTTTCTTAAACTAATGTACACATGATGTCGGATTCATATTACTAGTGAGCACTTACTGTTGCTTTAGGTATTAGATTCTTAATCTTATAATGTTGTTCATTTTCAGGTTCTTTCTGAAATTAGACCATACCTAGTTGGCACTGGGGGAGGAATATTAGAGCTTGTTCAGATAAAAGATTATGCTGTCAAAGTTCGGTTAAGTGGACCTGCAGCTGGGGTTATGACAGTTCGTGTTGCATTAACACAGAAGCTGAGAGACAAGATACCTTATATTGCAACTGTGCAACTAATAGACTAATGTCACATACAACACAACACAAGTTCTTTTATATTTTTATTTATCTGTACAAGATGAACTAGAGCCAATCCATAGAAAGAACATGCAAACTTTTGTTTTGGAAAAGAAATCCAGTGTCAGTTAGTTTTCCTCCATTTGCTTCAGAAGATTTTTTACTATAGAGCTTTAGTGTGTGACAGAAGAGCATACAAGAAAATGAAGGATTTTGACTTTTTTTGTTGTCAAAGGTAACACATTCTAAACTAAAATTAATGAAAAATATCAACTTGCACAGAGTGAACATAATGTTATTTTCTTTATAGCTACAATGTTTTGGTGACGGCTCTGTTCCAACTTTTGGTTGTGAATAACAATGTCTAAACCCGAACTTACAAAGCATACATTATTTCTCCTTATTCAAAAATAAACTGAACTGAAGTAAACCACACCAAACTCAAACTTTTATTCCAAAATAGTTTTTTTAAATCTCAATCTAATACATCCTTTGATTGGTTTGTAAAAAGTAGGACATTTCAAGTCAGTTAAAAAGAACCTAACTTACAGTGTCCTAAAGCTATTGATTGAAATAGTCTGAAGATTGATCTCTATTAGAACAAAAGAAAAGAAAACAAAATTGAAAAGATATTTTTTAAGTCCCTTAATAATTTCATGGTGTTCTAAGATATAGAATTTGGGAAAGGTGGAAAGTGAAGTCAGGAGAGTACATTGGAAAAGAGAAAAAGAATATCAAGAATAATCTTAATCATCAGATTGAAAACAAGAAAATTTACATAAGTCTTATAACAGAGATTATTAAAATGAAAAATTAGAATAAAGGGCACCTTATTTTGATTGATGGTGAGCAATGGTTACTAGGGTTGCCCACGTGAATTGGAAAACCATGCATACATAAAAAAGGGGGTGACACAAGTGGGTCGGGAAATCATGAACATTGGTCGGTCATAAGCATTCGCACATGTAAGTTGTAACCGGGCCAAGGATTTATGCAAGTGGTTGGGGCACTACTCCATGCTAATCTTAGCTCACAAAAAGAGTGTTTGTTTTTGTGAAGGACCATTTCATTCCAAAAATGTATGATTCCACAACACCATAACAAAATTGGTCATTTTACAAGAAAATAGAGGTTGTAAAAAAAAAAAATAGCCATTGCTATTACATGAATCAAATCTAGTAGAAAAAACTAGTTGCTTATAGTAAAGAATAAAAATGAATTGAAATTATTTCTTAGAATTTTATGACAAAGTATAATATTTAACGTTTATCAATACATATTTACTATCATTAAGTTAATAAAAAGATTATGTATTAATTCTTAACACAATGGTTAAGTTAATTCTTAACACAATCATTCCCATGCTTTATCGTGAAGACAGAAGATATCTTCAATTTGACTAATTAACATGAAGTGGAAAACTTTGTGATTTAGCAGAAAATCTTCAGTCAAGCGACTTTTAGAGTCCACCCCTCTTCATGACGCATGAACGAAACACATGTTTTGTGGTCCCAGAACGCGTAAATTAGGCCAGCAATGGTGGTGGTGGAAAAAGAAAAGAAAAGAAAAGATTACTCATATCATGATTCTGCGTGTGAAACATGAATACGTAAGAATAAAATGAGGTCACCAGAAGTTAGTTTAGCAGTTAAACTTTCATTCTTCTGAAATACTATTGTATTCATTATTATAAACTAAACATTGAAATAATAAAAACCTGCATTTTTCCTCCCTCTTAATCATACACGACATTCACACGCATTAGCAGAAAATAATATTATTTGAATAACTTTCTTTTACTTAATTTTGTTCCCTTCTCTCCTTAATATATGTATACATTTATATGTACAACACGATATTCAAAATACAGTAGCTAGCACAGCATAGGATATTGATAAAGTTGCTTTGATAATTGATAATATATATATGTGGGATACATATAGATATATAATAGTAATGGCTTTATGGAAAAAGCAAGCAGAAACATATGAATCAATCAATGTGTCTCTGCGAGGCACTGAAGAATGTTCACCTGCATTTGCAAACAGCTTACATAGCTTTGTAGTTCTGTCACCATTAGTTCACTACACATTTCTTCTCCCCCAGGTATCAACCTTCTGAGGCTCTTCAACTGGTCATTGATGACCTCGTCTTCATCTTCACCATCACCATCTTCTTCTCTCAAACCCCTTTTTATTTCAGGCATGCCCTTGTGCTTATTACTAGGCTTCAAACTAGGGTCTGAAGGGAACTGATCCAATGGCACCATTTCACCATTTTGGCCATAAATCCTTGATGAACCTTCACCAGCCTTGTTTTCACCAAAACTGGTTCTGCCACTATCTGCATTGGCTCTACCCCTTTGAAGCTTCACACTTAGAGCATTGCTCCATGCAAAACCCTGGGCTGAGTGCACCATTGCCATGTCCACTTCATACTTGACAACATTCTGAATATCACAGTGGCCACTACGCTCTGAAGAGCTTCTCTCCTTGATCTTCATCAATGCTGGCACCAAATAGTTCATGTAGTTTCTAGCAAAAGCTGCTTGTTCCACTTTGTTGGGTTCAAGTGAGTATACACGTCTGCGTTTAGCAGGTTGACCCTCCATGTGTAATCCAAACAAACACCTTTTTGTATCTAAAGAAAAAAAAAAAATCTAAGCAAGTATAAAAGGGTGAATAAAGGAAGAAGAAGAAGAAGAATTATGGATAGCACTAGGATCGAAGTTAGAAGGGTGCAAAATGTGCAAAGAAAAGTAATGGGGTGTAGTGAAAGTGGGGAGAGACAGAGGTAGTGGTTGTTTTTGTCAGCAATGTTAAGGAGAAAGAAGGCAAAAACAAGCTTTTGGGGAATGGTGTGGTTGTGGTGGAGATAGTGTTGAAGATTGTTCAAGTTATAGGGGTTTTGATGAGGGTGTGAAGATCACTAGCAAATAAATTTTCAATTTTCCTTGACATGAGGAGGCCCCATGTAACTAAATAATTGGAGTGACAAGGAAATTGGGTTATAATAATTACCAGCCGAACCAAGTATGGACGCACGCACACGCACAAAAAGAAGACCACAGACCTAGAAAACCAGTTTCTGTAGGGCAGTGATTATAGGGACTCAGTCTCACAACCACATATCAATAAATGGTTGCAAATGAATTCCTTTTCTTATATAAAATCTTGCAAATATAAAATTTGAGTAAAAAGAAAAATTATGTTAAAAGTGGTTAAAAATTTATCTAGCATAACTTAACTTCAATGGACAACCCAATAAACTTTGAAAATATTTAACAGTAAACTTGATATCACAAATGAATTTGATTATTTATCACTCTGCACACTTCTATTTTAACCATATTTGATAAAATAGGTTCATAGATGATAAGAAGCAAATAAATAATTAGAAAGAGTGTACACAAGAAGGTACAACACAAAGATATGAGGGTGTGAAAAATAGATGGAGTGGTCAATTTTGAATGGCACATGGCCTCACATGCTTGTTGCTTTTCACAACTACCCACAGAAGGGAGTCTCTCCCATGTGCCACTAGAAAACAAAAACACCAAAACCCCACTATAAATGCACCTCACATGACTCCAACCCCTTTAAGTGCTACTCTTTCTCTTTGCACTTCCAGGGTCTCCCCTACTTACAAGTTTTTCCCCTCTCATTTCAAATCAACCAGCTCATCCTACTTCTTTCCACCCCTCTCTCTATACCTTTTCTTTTTAGATTAATTACCCTTTTCATTTTTTAGTTTTCTATCCTTATATTTATCACTTTCAAATTTCTAATTGATATCAATTGTCAATATTCACCACTGCAAATATGAAAGATTTGATTTGACTTTGAGATTAACAATGTACTTTCAAAAAGGTTAACATATGATTTTATATAATTAGAGAAACAAAACTTTCAAGTTATATTTCAATAGTAGAGGATTATATATCCATGGTTTATTACGATGAAATGAAATGAAATCCATACAAGTTTCACCATTAGTAACCCCAATACAAGGCAAACCCAGAAACAGATTTAGTACATTCTGATAAGGTGTATGTGACAGCTAGCTATAGTCCCATAAATTGCATAGATTTGAAAGTTAGGATTTTGTAAGGATAAACAAAATCCAAACTGAAATGGCCCTACTCTAGTAAGATGATTAGAGAACAAAACTATCATAAATCTAGCTTTGTATAAACAAAGTCAAAAACTTGTCTTCATTGAGAAAAAGTTAAAAGAAAAAAAAGTTTATCACCAACTACCTTGATATAACTTAAATCAAATTTGACCTTCATGTTTGGTAATATAATCAATCATCCTATGAGAACCCCACCTGATTTATTATTGTTTACTTCAAATAGGAAAAGGATATAATAATATAAAGAAAAAAAATTATCATTCAACAGAAAAATAAGAAGATCGTCAAGAAAGTTAGCTCAGAGTCCTTTTGCTTTCAGAGGATCCTGGACATTGTAGTTTCCAAGTCTGAGGCAAAACTAAATGCCAACCACCCTTTGGACATTTGTGGGACAACTATGCATGTGCAGAAGAGCCTCAGAATTCAGATTTATTAGTATAAAGTACGGTTCTCATTCTCACAGTTAATAATTATTAACAGTGAAATTATTCTACCTGATGCAGAAACAGAAAGACTTAGAATTGTATATGAATTTCACGTTGTCAAGAGTAGTATTGTTATATCTCTCGTACAGGAGTGACATAATATACAGTGCATTCTGTTGGGTAGGGCCTACTGCCATGTCAAAGTTGAAAAGCAAAACTGAAATTAGCTCTGGTAGGAAAGAAATCAGGTATTAACATTAATTGAATGTTGGAAAAATGAATTGAGAAGTCACACACCATTAATGGGTTAGTGAAAATTTGTTAGGGAGGAGTTTGATTGAATGGTGTGCGATGGATGTGTTTGTGAGAATGCAGTAATAGGAATACATCAAAGCGCTTGACATGCAAAATATATACATTATCAGATAAAAATAAAAGATCAAATAAAGACTGACAGAAAAACAAGCCTCGTACAAAGTAGAAGGTAATGGAAACAAAATGAATTCTGCAAATTTCTCAAATGAGGACTAAATTTTGATTTCATAAGTTATATGTTGGATCCCTCCTAATCTTCAATAATATTATATAATTAGACAGAAAAGCATATATTAAAATGAAAGAAAACCTATCATGAAAACGTAACTTCTCAAAATTATAAATGGATCCAGAGTCTCAACTTTTATTTTAAATATGACCACATCTATTTTCTGTAGAATTTAAACTGTTTGAAATGTATAAGAGTATTATTGAAGAAAAATTCTTTACACTAGTTTTTATGATTGTATTAGACATAAACTAAATTTTGATATAACATAGCATATCTTAAATATAATATGAGATTCATTTATGATATTATCTATTATGGAAACTCAATGGTATTTGATAAGAAAGAGTATATTGACAAACCTCTCTGATCTCATAATAATTGTAGCCAGTGGCTACATAAGTTATATAAATGAGAACAATTTTGACCAGAGCTAACTTTAATAGGATAATTAGACTCAAATCCTAATTCTTATAACCAGGATGGAATAACCCCACGATGGTAAAACGGGCGAGGTCGCCGATCCACCATAATATGGTGAGGTGGGTTGGTGTTTCGACCACTAGCTGCTTTGGCCCGCCCTGCTAAGTCCGCCAACCCGCGGACCAACTCGCGGGATGAGGTGGGCCAGCCCGCGACCCGCCTAATTAATAAAAAAATAATTTTTTATTGTAATAAAATTAATTATAAAGATAATATATAAAGTTAAAAATTTTAAAAAGAGAATTAAAAAAGTTTCAATTCTCACGGAAAATATTCTCCTTCCCGAAACATAATCTTCTCTCTGTTCTCCTTGTTTATCCCGAACATTGATTAATTTTATCCTTATTACTTGAATTAAAGGTGTAAGAATTACTCAACCAAGAATAATATGAAGTTTTATCAAATAAAAAAGATATAGGTATTTGATTTTTTCAATATAAAAAATATAAATTTTATAAGTTTAACGTTATATATATATATATATATTTGTTATTATTTATTATTATGTAAATTTTATTATTGTTCTAAATTATAATTTCTTAAAATAATGTATTAATTTATATTATTAAATTGAAATAATATATATATATATATATATATATTGAATTATTGTAAAAAAATAATTTTATTATTAAATTATTAAAAAAATTTATTTAAAAAAAAATATTTTTTCTAACCCGCCAGCCAGCTAACTCGCCCTTGACGAGGCGGACCAAGATCTACATATATCGAGCCAACCCGCCCACTTTTGATGGGCCAAAACGGGGTGTACTCAGCCGTCCCTAACCCCACACCACCAATAACTCGTCTCAAACTCTGAGCCAACAACCATTTAACATGAATTAAAGTTTTAGAAGCTAAAACCAGCACAAAATATAGAGTATGTAAATAGCAATTAAGAAGTGATTGTGGATTAAGAAGAGAGATTGTTGGATTGAGAGGGACAAGAGAGACGGGGACATAAGTGACGTAGTAGGTTTTTGTAGTTTAGTGTAATATGGGAGTATAGTGGAAGAGTGAGATCACGTGGAAAGATGAAGAGGTTGACATGTTTGGTGGGAACAGTTGCAGGAAATTGTAGCTTAACTGAAATTGAGGAAGGCCCTAAGAGGCTTCTCATTCCATAGCCACAGAAGACTCCACGGCATCCATTTCTGGATCACAAAGAAAGGTGTGTGTCTGTACGGACACCGCCCTTTTTTCTGGGTGGAAGAGAAGAGACGAGAAAGAGAGAACGACAACGCCACACTTTGTCGCTTCTGTGATATGATTTGAGAGGCTACACAGCATGTGAAGCGAAGCAAGGTAATTTTCTTTCTTTTCAAGTTTCATACCAGTAATGCATGTAAGCCCTTCTGTTACATTTGTTTTGGACTAAAATATATCCATTCTATAATAACATTACAGATACCAAAACTTCAAATTATTTATATCTTTCATTTCATATATAATAAGTTTTATTTGTAAGAAAGTTTTCCATAAATTAAACAATATATAACTACTGAAATACAAAAATATTCATATATTTTTTAAATTATTTTATTTTTTCACTTAACTTTATTATTGTCACTAATTTTTTTCACTAATTACGTCTCATTATTTTTCTTGTATATTTCACTATTTTTAAATATATAAATCATAATAATAATTATTTTAAAATTATAACAATAACAAAAAAAAATCATAGAAAAGCTCTTATTATATATAGTTATAAATAATTATTATATATATATATATTTATATTTTTTTCTCTCTTCATGATCCACGTTTATTTTTCATTCATAATTATTATAAATTTTTCCTTTTTTATTGTTTTTCAAATATATAAATCTATGTTTAATAATAAATAATATCATTTTAAATATAGAAAATTTCCTTTATATATATATATATATATATATATTATAGATTTTATTTTTAATAAATATTTTATTAAACGCATTTCTAGTAAATCTACGTAGTTTACAATTTATATATTTTATAGGAAAGATATATATTGTGGTGCTTCCTCTATATTCAAAATTATTATTATAATTATTATTATTATTTTATTTGAAATTATTATTATTTAATTATATATAAAATTATTTTGTTTACATAAATTAATAAATACATGATATAAAAGAAAAAGAAAGTAAATGAAATCAGGAGCTACTCTAAATAAAAGAAAAAGAGAAAATCTATGAAATTGGAGATTAATTAGGTGAATTTATATACACTCTTCTCAAAATTTTCTTAGTAATTTATTTACATGAGGTTTTTCTTAATGACTTGTCTTGAACTGTACAAAAGATAGATGTAACTTGCAAACCTACTTTGGGGACAGCATGAAATTCACCATTGCCTTATCTCAATCTTCCATATTCATGTTCTGAATGACTTGCAAGTTACCTTCAATAAAAGAAGATAAAAGGTAGCAACTTTTTCAAAGCATTAACTAAATCCGCCATGGACAACGGCAGACCCATCTTCAAAGAGTTTAAACATTTGCAAGCCTTTCTTTCATTCATTAGGAATGCATCTATTTCTAATGCTAGCGTTTCCAAATAACTTGAAAAAAGTGGTCTTTGTTGAGATCAAGTCAAAGTTTCAAAGTTTCAAATTTTGCATGGTGTCGTTTTTAGCTTCCATAACCTCTTCCCACCACAAAACTCTCAGTAAGTTCAGTGTCTTGTCACTTCCACTTTAAAGTGACATAAATTAAACATTAACAACCTGATTGAGGAAGGACTCAAAAGCAAATGAAAAACAAGGATGGAAGGTAACACCACTTTTCCCAAGCATCAAAGCAAAAGTTTAGACTAAAACACATCTGAAAATACATGAAAAAGATAAACACACTGAGAGAGAGAGAGAGAGAGAGAGAGAGAGAGAGGGGATAAATTACAGGCTTCTTCTCCCTATCTAATAAGCATACATACTTTGGCCTTCTCCATGTCTTTCCATTATTTACAATATTGTTCTTGAGTTATTTTTTTACACGGAATAATGCTGCTGGATTGTGTCAATGTCCAAACCTTTCAGCTTCACCACAGACTCAACGTGTCCCTTAAGTGTGCGAAGCTCACGAAGCCTGAAAAGTATAACAAGTAATGAATCAATTGTACAGTTATTTATATTGTACTGGGAGGATTTGGTTAGTCTCAAGTAAGGGTATAAAGTAAGTATTGTTAGTCGTTGATAAAAAAGTTAACTATTGATATTTCAACACAAGCTTGATTCGTAATGTTTCTACGTGCATTCAATGTTGATAATTTTTTTTTTTCGTCAACAGCAGATATTCTTTACTTTATCTTCGAACATGAGTTGCTGATTTTACAGAAATTTCACCATCTAATTTCCATGATAATCATAGAAAAGCTAGGAAATGTGACTTACCTTGCAAATTCAGCTTTTCTCCTAGCCGCCTCTGCCAACTCAGACGACAGTTCTCTAAAACTTGTCTCATAAATGAAATTTGAAGTTTCCAGTGGTTGAAATCCTTTACAGATCCTCTTAGTAAGATGAGTCCATCGAGCTTTCCTCTCAATCTTACCACCCATATCCCAACATTCTCTATTTCCACACAGTTTGCTAAATATCTTTTGTATAGGACAACTCCAGATTGACTCTTTATGTATAACTGATTCCATTTTTTCAATTTTTTTGTCATTTCCAACTTTTCCTTCAATCAGGGTTTTATCCAACCTCGTCGACACAACATCGACAATATTTTTAAGTAAATCGGCATCATCCCTGGCAAGGAGAAGACAACGTTGGTAACTCACTGTAATCTCTTAAAGAAATACGATATAGACATTGAAACATATACAAATGGATTAGGTAATATAGAATTTAACCACTGTATATTCAATGGATCATCAGGGCATGGTTGATATCAGCACAATTCTGGCATAATGTATCATCATAGATTCATAGTTTGCTGAACAGATTAGTTCTTCATAATTTCTTCATCAGCCAGCAACTCTTTTCTTTTTCTTTCATGGTTTTTGTTCAGTTATTCTATTTTTCATTTTTGCTGAACAGGTTATTATTCCTTTTCTTAGATTTTTAGTAGCTATACTATTAATTTGATACTATAAAAATATTGTACTCTACTCTCTCTTTATTATCTTAGGTTATTAGAAGATTTTAATTCAATTTAAGTTAAAGCTTTAAAAACAGAATATTAGATATTGGTATTGTCAAAAATATATCTAACGGATTTAATTTTGCTTAATATATTTAAGATACTGTTGAAAATATTTAATTTTCACTTAACGTTTTTAAATTCACTTAATGGATTTTGGAATAAGATTGAAGGATAAATTTTGTGAAAATTTGACTTAGGCAAAAAATTTGACAGAAACAAATATTAAAATTATCTACATAATCTATTCCATCGTTAAAACTTTGTTTAATGAACTTGAAATTCACTAAATAATTTTCAAAAAAATTATAAATAATAACTTTGAATTCCAAATTAATCGTTTCATCTATGTAAATTAAAGCCCTAAAAATAAGAAATTAATAAAATAATAATTAGTAAAAAATAATATTTATATAAAAAGTTATGGTTAAAATAATAAGTAGATGTCAAATAAAAAATGTTTTTATTATAAAATGGGAAATGGTATGTATATTAAGATTTGTTACTAAAAAATGTGATGTGATGTATATTAAGAAATATTGTATTATAATATGAGAATTAATAAGATAGGTATTTTTATGAGTATAGTATTATATATATAAATATTGATTTGAAATCGGAGGATATATCAATTATGTTTTGATAAGTCTTTGGTCAAACATGAGTATACATATACCAAATGGAGGATGGAGGATATGACATGTGCAAATCTTTAATATCCCATTCAATATGTAGTTTTCAAGTGTTTGGGTGATATGTTATTAGGCGATTATGGATTTAATGTTAAATTTTTAATTGTATTTTACGCACTTAAACTAAATTACTAATTTAACTTATTTATTTTGGATTACGATATAATTGTATGCTTATGTACTAGCCCATGACATACGTAATAAACCTCAGGAAAAAAAATATAGAGTTAGGAATAATATAATAGTATCCAACTATTAACACTAACAAAAAGAAAATACGCATTTTCTATCATTGTTCATGTGATAAGTTATAAAGTTATTATCACAAATAATCTTAATTCACATAAAAAATTGTGACGTTATTCGTCAAATCCGTCACCTCATTTTTTATTGTCACCCCGTATATAAACCGATACGTTACTTTTGCATCATAGAACACAAAATATTTACAAGAATCAAGGACTTATTGTCTTCACCAACATCTTCTACATGTAAAATCTAGATGGGTTTTGTAATTTTTCAAAACAAAAACTTGTTCATAAACAAGTAAAAGAGATCCTACGTAATAAATATATACTATAACGGGGAAAAAAAAAATCTAAGTCATGTTTACTGTGAATATCATATTATAGGTCAGATATTAGCTGTTGTAATAAAAAATTATATTTGTATAATATTTATCATTAAATATTTTCTTCATTAAACTATTTTGTAAGGTAATAAATATATAGTGGGAAAAGAGGTTACCGAAATTTTGATGACTGAATTCCTGCTAAGAGTGTGGATTTATTCAAGGCATGTCTCCAGATTGGGACCTTCCTCTCATATTTGATTTCATGTTCGTCAAATGCATTCTTGTAACTCCCCAATTGATCTCTTACATCTTTGGGTTCTATGCAATAGAAAACAGGGATTACAATCTGTCCATCTTTCTCTCTGCATTCAATAATTTTCACCACTTCATCTAGACACCAATGAGAAGAAGCATAGCCTTGTGAGAATATGATCAATGAAATGGATGATCCTTCGATTGCTTCAACAAGTGATGGCCATATTTCTTCTCCCCTCTCAATTTCATCATCAACAAACACTTTTACAGTCTTACTTTTGAAACCCTCAACCAAATGACAAAGAAACACTCGTCTGATGTCCGCCCCATGAAAGCTAACAAAAACATCGTACTTTCTTTCTCCAACCTTCTTCTTTGACATGAGCTTTTCCTCTACATCCTTTGCTTTTTGGAATAACAGAAAACAAAAGCAACACGAAGAAATAAACAAGAGACAAAGAAATAGTTTATTCAGAAGTACATAACTTGATGAACATAAAATATGGCCTTGCTTTGGAGCATGTCCAGGGTGAATCTTTCTTTGTCTTTACACCGGAATATGTATGTAAGAGCCATGAGCAAAGTACGACACTGATAAAAAAAAAAAGTTAATTAGAAATGAAGTGAAAAAACTGAGAATTTATAACACAGAAACTTGATATATATCTACAAGAAGTTGAAATAAGGAAGAACAAATACATGATCGACACCAGTTTAATTCTTCTGGAATAAACCTTGGCTCTTTTCTTCTTTGTTTTGTTCTTGGCCACAAATGAATAATATATAGCAAAGTGATTCTTTAGTTGTTTGGGTCGGTTGTTGGAAACTTATCTTGCCGGCCTTGCAATTTGAGAAGAAATTTCATGAAAAGTACCAAAAAATGATGAATGTTTGGTTTAAAGGTTTCAATATTTGCGTCCAAACTGAAAAACATGTGTGGGTGGATTGGTTTTAACTAGGGTTTAGACACTTTTAACCGGCGAAATGATTATTTAACAACTCATTCCGAACAAACATTTCTGAAATAATACGAAAATCATTATTTAATATTTCTGAAATGTTCTTGAATAATCCATGTCTAACCATTTAAAACAAATGAACTTTTATAAATGTTTAAGCCTGCCCTATTTTCTAAAAATGTCTACTTGGGTTGACATAAATTCCGGTTGGATAGCTTAGTCATAGCGAAGTTAGCATTGATCAAAATTTGCCTCTCATAATTGCCAAATTTGTGTTTGTGTCATATGTTACGCTACTACAATTTTGTTGGTTCTCTTGGTGTATGTATATATGGATGTATCCGTATAATGATTATTCAATTTTATTTTATTTCAATTTCTACACCATATTTTATTTAATAAAAAAATTTGTGTGATAAGAAGGTTTTGTCCTCTTCTGGGGGACAGCATGCATGCATGGACTTCACACTTGCCTTATCTCAATCTTCCATATTCATGGTCTGAGTAACTTGCAAGTTACCTCAATAAAAGAATATAAAAAGGTAGCAACTTTTTCAAAGCATTAACGTAATGTGTGGATGAGAAGACGAATTTGGGAGAGTAAAAAATATGAATTAGAGGGGAAAGAGAGACCTAGGAAAGGATAGTATAGGAAGTGTAGAGAAATAAAATAAATGTTTGTATATGATATTTTTAAAATCGGACTGATAATTAATTTAATAAAAAAATATTTTTATAATATAACAAGTATAATCTAAAATAAATAAGTTTAATAGTAAGTGTTTTTTTTACAAAATAATAATAATAATAATAATAATAATAATAATAAAAGTTATTATCATAATTATAGTAAGTTATAATAAAATTTATAAATATAAAAGATGGTGTAATTAAAATAAGAAAATACAATAAAATATCTACTATTTAAAATTGAAGTAACTAATTTTAGATAAAAAAATTAAAATATATTATATCTTTATAAAAGAATTATATTTTAAAAAATTATCTTAATTTTCTTTTATCAAAATTAATTTGACCCAAAGACCTAGTTAATTTTTCTAGTTTTACTGATTTTGTACTAAATTTATCCTAATTTAATTAAAATTTGATTATTTAAAAATAACAACCCGATTTTTAAAGTGGTTGAATAGATCGATCCGATAAATTTTCAAAATAGTATTTGTGAGTTATTTGATTGATGTGAGTAATAAAAAAATATTTTAATAGAATAAATTTGGAGATTACCCAATTTTGCTTGTGGTGAAAATTATTATTATTAGAATTTAAAGTATTATAAGCATTTGAAATTATTATTATAATAATTATTCTTACACTTATAATTATTTTTATTTTTAAAATAATTATTAGTATTATTTATACATTTATTGTTATAAATATTATTATTTCAAATAATTTGTGAAATCACTTGAGAATCATGGGATTGCATCATGGACCACATTATGGTGCATTGAGCCTCCTAGTTCGATATCAACAACATTGTTGTCGGGTATTTTGGGATCTTCATTGTCATCATGTTCATCCTCCTGATTTACCCTCTCATATTGTCATACATCATTCATAATAACAACATTCAATTTGCTCAACATTATATTTTTAAAGTCAATATCATAATGAGACATGATATATGTTATCAAAATGGTGCATGGAAGATAGTTGTTGTTGTCTCTACATTTCATCATGTGTTGCATGATGTGACCAATTAATCAAAACATTATTTTTCAAGATCCATAATATGAAAATTTCTTAATGTGACAATTTTGGCATAGTTAGTAATTGGAGGAGTCAAAATGTGAATAATGATGCTATGCAGGAGTTTATCATTAATATTTAAACATATTTCATTCCTAATATTGCAACCTTACACCTCTAGTCTTAGCATAAAACTCAATGTTGTATCCTAGTCGTATTGCATGTCTTCAAGCATAATAGGATATGATAACTTTGGGATTAGCCAGAGTCAACCATTCCACATGTTTGATTTTTATCTTGGTCTTAGGTTCAAGTAAAATACTCTAATGAAATTTTTCAGTGTTAAGCTTCTAACATAAGAAAGTGTTCCAAACCTTGAAATTGTAAATGATGGAGGAAGTACATCCCCGATTATGCGAAATATGGAAAATTCATTATTTTTTGGGTCAAAATTTTCTTATATTAAAATGTCATTCCATATATGATCATGCGTGTTGAAGAATTGTGTTTTATTTAATACCTCCCCAACAAGAACTTTTTAAATTGCACGAGCGTTTTCTTTCCTTGTATTGGTACTACGATATCTTTTAGATGCTGAAGACAAAACCAATGGTGCAAAACTCGAAACATATGAAACACCGGTTAAGATTAAATAAATGAAAACAACAAACATATATTAAGGTATAAATTGATCCCAAAATAATGATATACCAATTAACCACAAAAGTAAATGAAAGAAAATAAGACAAAATTTACAATGAACTATGTCACATAAACATTAATTTAATTTTTTTGTTACTTGAATTCAAATATTACACAAGGAAAAAATTACACCAAAGTTCACATGTGGTTCTTACATACAATAATATCACTCTTTTCTAAACATAAGATTTAACAACTTGTTGAAACGACATTCTGGAGGCATCTCGAATAGTCCCTTTGTATGTGATGATTCATACACAGAAAATCATAAAACTAATCCACTATTTGGTCATCACATAACAAAATAACATCTTTATTAACTCATCCCATATTTCACTTTCAATTTCAAATATTAATGTGAATTCACTTCAAGAAACCTCATTGATTCCAACAAATAGACCATGAACCTCGTGCTATCTATCCTTAAGATAATTTTATTTATTTTTAACATTATTCTTTCTTATGTCGACCAACTACACTGTCAAAGAGACTTAACAATATTATTGTAAGTTTGAGTGGTCCAACTTTTATCAACTCAATTCCCCAAACGAACTTCATCAACCATGGTATTCACTAGTTATATAAGTCCATGTTCGATGTCCATATTGTAAACTCTCGAATTCCTGGAGATGACCTAGGGACAAAACTCTTGCCTCTATTCATGTTTGTTAGAAAAGTAGGCTGAAATCAAGAGGGAGGGGTGAATTGATCTTTAAAAGTTTTTCGCAAATAACAGATTATCTAATTCAAAAATTAAGATTTCAGATCTGTTCTTGAATCACAAAGCAATCAATCAAATATAAACGCAACGACAGAATTAAAGGAGAGAAAGGTTAAGAAAGATATCACCGGTGTTTTATACTGGTTCACCCAATACCAGGGCTACGTCCAGTCTCCAGCCAAATTCCAGCTGGGTTCCACTAGATCAAATGTTTTACAGATTTACAATCTTACACTTAATCTACCACAAGAACCAAATTCCAGTTCCTGTACTCAACCTTTTACCAAGAACCAAATTCCAGTTCTTGACAACCTCTACAACCAAATTCCAGCTGCAGAGAAACCAGTGCCCACAATTCCAGGCACCAATACCTAACCTTTCACTAAGAACCAAATTTCAGTTCTTGACAACCTCTACAACCAAATTCCAGCTGCAGAGAAACCAGTGCCCAAATTCCAGGCACCAAACAATACAAAAAGAATGTAAAGAAATGAAAAAGAAGAAACTAGAATGCTCAAACCAGTTTATGCAATTTTGCTGTAAGTGTTTCTTCTTCAAAAGAAATCAAGTTGCCTCAAGAAAGATTTTCAAAGAACTTTTCAAAAACTGACGTGAATCTTTCTTGAAAAGAGTGTTAAAGTTTGCTTGATTGATTGCTCAAGGATGTGTAAAAACTGATGTTTCAATGTATGTTTAAAAAGTTCAAGTCAAACTGTTTTTATAGAAGATTTTCAAAACTGCTGTTTTAATTAATCTGTTAAAAGATTCTTTTAATCTGTTAAAAGTGTAGTTTTAATCTGTTAAAACTTCTTTTAATCCATTAATACGTTCTTGATTCTTTAATAGATTTGTTTTAACTGATACGACAACGTTTATATCAATTAAAACACTTTACAAAAATTCTTCTAAGTTGATTTAATCGATTGTTTCGCGATTCAATCGATTGAAATACTGCAAAACTTTCTTGTAAAACTTTTCAAGTTATTTTAACTGATAAAAATAAGTTTTAATCGATTAAAACGCTGTGTAGAAATTTTCTAAGTTGTTTTAATCGATTGAAACGTGTTTTAATCGATTGAAAAAGTTCTGATCGGTCATAACTCAATTCGATTGATCATAAGCTGATTCTGATCGGTCATAATTTCATTCTGATCGATCATCCTGAACTCCAAGTGGTTTTAATCGATTAAAACCAAGTTGTATCGATTAAAATACTGAAAAAATACTTCTCTTATCATTTTAAGTGATTTTAATCGGTTATTTCGAAGTTTTATCAGTTAAAACACTGAC